GTCTTTTTTTTTACCGACCTCAAAAAAATTATCATGCAATTAATTGATTTATTGACTATCGCGACAGGCCTATGTAGATTCTCTGGCCTGGGAACAGATTGGGGTGGTTGTCTGGTTTTCTCTCCTGGACCTGTCCCAACCACAGATAATCAATAAATCCTTGTAAGATATGGCTTTGAGTAAAAAAACCCAAAGACACCAAACATAATGAGCAGCTACCCACCGAATCAAGCTGTAAACTAAAGTATTTTTGCTGTGACATCAGCAAGGACTGACTCGCTTCTAAAACCAACACCCTGCAGCTGTTTGAGACACTGCAGTGTCTGCCACTAAACACTGACAACTTTTGTAACTTCCTAATGTCAGCACTAACTCTCTGTGAGAACAAAGAAAGTATGAAAGTTTKTTTTTTTTAAACCTGCAGATGTTGACGTTTGTGATTCTTGCAGGTTTGTTTCTTCCACTGTGGAGTGCTCGAACATCTCAGTTCCATCTTCAACCACAGCCTCGGACCCCAACGTCTCAATATCTGAACCCTGAAAGAAAAAAAGCAGTATTTGTTTATCTAAAGCCACATTTACTTTATGTTTTCTTTTAACAATTTAATAAATTTAATGTAAATGCAGAAAGAAAATAACATGTTTTGTTTGTTTTATTCTTTGCTAAATTATCTGTTATTTGTCAAAACAAGACATTTAAAAGGCCTGAACAACATATTGCTCAACAGAACTTTAAATAACAAGAAAGCCTTTGACAACTAATAAGGAAAAAGATGAACCAAGACTTTTACTCCACACTGTAATGTCTTCATCAGATTTAAAATAAGCTACACACAAAAGCAAACCCTGGTGAATGTAACAAAATCAGTCTTCTAGCACAAGCAATATCAACATAACATTATTACAACAAACATAATATTGTGCGTTAAAAACTGTGCAATAACAAGTTAAACAGCTGTGCTAAAGAATAAAAGAAAATATTTTATACCTCATTATTGAGAATGGTCCAACCACAGGAGGACTCTGTGTCACTGGATGTTTCTGACATTTCTGTCAACAATAATTCAGACTCCAGAGGTCCAGTACCTGAAGCTATCTGCTGATGAGAAAAATAGAAAGACTAATAATAAAGATTTAAATTCACAAAAATGGCAGAGGAGTAACAGCGACCCCTGGTGTTGAAATTTCATAACAGCTAATACTGCCAGCACGCGGCCTGATTAAAAAACAATCCCACGGTTAGCTAAAACTCTCATCTATCAGCTGCTGTTTACTGAAGCAGGCCTGTTCGAATATCGACATTTAGCTGCTGTTTTAGAAGCGAATTAAATTTATAACAGGTTCAAATATTAACCTCACCGCTTAAAAATGTGTACGCAAGACACAAACACTGCGGTGTCGACGRCAAAGCTTGTTTCGAAACGCAATTAAACATTTAGCTAATGTTTGTAAACTAAAACAAGTTGCTTAACTCACCCGCGACCAGACATCTGTTTGCAAACAGTTCCACAGTTGTTGCAATCAGCCCAAACCGTGTGTTTATCCGTTAACATAACAAAGCTCACTATAAAAGGGAAGTGTAGTTTTTTTGTTGTGTTATAGACTACAGCGAAACTAAGTTTAAGACTAAGAAAACTACGTTTCCCATGATGCCGCGCGGCGGAATGACGAGCTCAACTGGCTCAAAACCGTTGTAAAAAAAAAAAGAAACATAAACAAGGAAGCGTGATGAAGCAAGCCCAAAATAAACCAGTGTTATTAATTATTAATTAAGCTTTTTCAGTCTGAAGAAATCGACCTAAAATGTTTTCTAAATAATAAAATATGTTCACTTATAGGTATGGTTATGTCTTTACAAAAGCTTAAAAAATACTATAGTATT